TCTGGAGTCTTTTCTCTCCTCTCCCTGGACTCTGGTTTCTCCCCTCCCCCCCTTCTCCGGACACTGACCTACCCCCCTTAGCCTCTGATCCCCCCTCCCCTCCCTTCCCTCCCTTCCTTGGACTCTCACTTCTTGTTTTTCTTCCCTTTCACCCTTTCCTGGAATAATCTCCACTCCCTTTCCCCTTTACCCATTTCCACACGCCTGGACTGTAAACTCCCCCCTCCCCTCCCCTTTACCCCCACCCCCCTACCGCCTCCCTAAGTGTCCATCCCACTTTTCTAAAACCCCCCCCTCCTCCCCCATTTCCATACGACCTCCCTTGTTTCTTGGTCTCATTTCATTGTTTATTTTTTATTTTTTATTATTATTTTTATTTTTTATTTTTTTTATTTTTTTTTTATTTTTTTGGTCTTCATCATGGCTTAAATTTCCTTATGGACTTCCCTTTCTCGTAGACCGGTCACTGGCCTTGTGATTTATTTTTCTCCTTTTTTTCTAGATAATGTTGGGTAATTTGTGTATAATTGCCGGCGAGACAATGATTAGGCTGTGAGGTATGGCGCAGACTTCCATTTTTTTTGCGAGGTCTTGCTAAGCGAAAGAAGGAGAGAGAAGAAATGCGAGTAAATTGAATGAGAGGGAAAAGTCCAGTAAGAAAGTCCGTTGCGAGATGTGATTCAGTGCCTTTCGCTTTTGTTTCCTCTTCACTTTTTTGTTTTTTTCTCTTTTCTTCCATCTCTTCTTCGCTCCTTCACTTTTTTTTCTATTTTATCTATATTCTACTCTTCTTTCTCTTTTTCCCTCCGTTCTTTTTTCTCTCCCCGCCTTCTTCATTCTTGTCCATCCTCCTTCCTTTCCTTCTTTCTTCTCTCTGTGTCTCCTTCCCTCCTTCCTTTCCTCTCTCCCAACTCCATCTCCTTTGTCCCTACCTCCTTCTCTTCCTTCTTCCTCCTTCCTCTCCCTTTTTCCCTCCCTCTCCCCTTCTTCCCTCCTTCCTTTTCCCCCTCTCTCCCTCCTCCCTTCCACCTCCCTTCTTCCCTCCTTCCCCCTCCCCCCCTCCCTCCTTCTCTCCTATCCTCTCCTGACCCCCCTCCTCTTCTCTCCTTGCCTTCCCCTCTTCTTTCCTTTCCCCCTCTCCATTCCTTCCCTCCCTCCCTCCCCTCCCTCCCTCCACACCCCCCCCCCTCCTTCCCTCCATCCCTCCACCCCGGAACCCGTCGCCAAAGAACTTAGAAAACGCAAAACGACCTGTTCATCCGAGTTAAGTCACATAGAAAATGGGAATCTGATGCTCCCGATAAGACAGGGCTACTGACTGTGGGGTTAGGGGGGAGGGGGGGTAGAGGGAGGGGAAGGAGAGTAGGGGTAGCTGGTCGTATAGGAATGGGTGTGGAAGGAGAGGGAGGGAGGAAGGGAGGGAGGGAAGGGAGGAAATGAGAGAGGTATGTGAGTGAGTACAAGGAGGGAACTGGGCGAGAGAAGCATTTGAGTCCGTTATATATAAGTGGGTGTGGAAGAAAGGAGGGAGAAAGAGAGGGAGGGAGGGAATGAGAAGTGAGGTGGAGAGCTCGCTGTGTACACGAAGAAGTAAGAGATAACTTGGATCTTCTTGCATGCAGTCGAGTGCTTGTGGAGAGAGAGAAGAAGGAAGAAGTTATAAGATGGTTGAGCTCGTTCTCTGAAAGCCCGTGTGGAGGAAGGGAGGAAGGGAGGAAGGGAGGAGCCATGATCTATTCGTACCGCTTATGCCATGAGAAAGTTGCTGAACTGAAAAGGAAAGGGCTCGCTAATCTGAATGGTAAGTATATGCAAATGATTTCATATATCATCCACACAGCTGAGGTATTAACCGCCTTGTCCATGCGTATTTTAAGGTCACATGTTTCTTGTCTTGCAACCCGGTCTCTTCAGATGAAAGTCGTTTGTGTAACGAGGAAGTAAATAGAGAAAATGGGATAGCTAGAGAAAGAGGAGAGGGAGAAAGAAAGAAAGAGAGAGAGACAGAGAGACAGACAGACAGACAGACAGACAGACAGACGAAAAGTAAGGAAAGAAGGTTAGGTGACATAACAGAAAATGACACACATACAGAAGAAAATATCGACAGCCTTATTGATAAAGGGTGAAACACAGACAGAACAGAGCAAAGACAAAACATATAAACAATAATAAAGGCGAACAACAATGCCAGAGACACCAGACCTATGCAAATGTAGGGCAGATAATCAACATACTCCGGATTGAATAACAATAATAAAAAAAATATACAGAAGTTTTTTTTTTTTCTAACGGTATAGAGAAAACGATCCATTCTTCCCCTTGAAGAAAGTGGCGGAGATTTAGAAGAAAAAATCTTCACTGTTGATATGGAACGTTGACAATTCTGTGTTATTTACGAAAAGGATGATAATTGCAAATGGTGATCATAACGATAAAGTAATATTAACTGCAGGCTGATTACTTGTAAGACAAATAACTATATAAAACGATACTGGCAATGCTGATTATAAAACACTCATCCCCCCCCCCCCAAAGAAAAAAAATCACATACTATGTTACACTTATATTATTAAATGGAATAATATAAGTATAATAAGACCATAAACGATTCTATGATATTCACGAAAAATATGTTCCTACTATATTAATTAAGGGGCAGAAAAATGAATGAAAAATCATAACAAGACCACAACCAGTAATAACCACAACAACGAAATGGTCAACCGGAATGTTGCACGAGGATCACTGGCGGATAGATTTTTTTTTTTCATTCGTTCTCGCTCTCTTTCTTTCGTTCTTTCTTCTCTCCTTTTATTTATTTATTTTTCTCTCTCTCTTTCACTTTCAATTTCTCTGTCTCTGTCTCTGTCTCATCCTCCCTCTCTCCCTCCTTCCCTCTCTCCCTCCCTCCCACTCCCTCCCTCCCTCCCACCCTCTCCCTCCCTCCCACCCTCTCCCTCCCTTCCTCCCTCGCACCCTCTCCTTTCCTCCCTCCCTCCCTCCCACATCTCCCTCCCTCCCTCTCTCCCTCCTTCCCTCCCTCCCTCCTTCCCACCCTCCCACTCCCTCCCTCCCTTCCACCCACCCTCCCTCCCTCCTCTTTCTCTCTCTCTCTCCCTCCCTCCCTCCCTCCCTCACCCACTCCCTCCCTCCCTCCCTCCCTCCCTCCCTCCCACCCTCTCCCTCCCTCCCTCCCTCCCTCCCTCCCACCCTCTTCCTCCCTCCCTCCCTCCCACCCTCTCCCTCCCTCCCTCCTCCCTCCCACCCTCCTTCCCACCCTCTCCCTCCCTCCCTCCCTCTCCCTCCCTCCCTCCCTCCCTCTCTCCCTCCCTCCCTCCCTCCCTCTCTCTCTCTCTCTCCCTCCCTCCCTCCCTTCCACCCTCTCCCTCCCTCCCGCCCACTCTCTCCTTCCTACCCACTCCCTCCCTCCCTCCCTCTCTCCCTCCCTCTCCCTCCCTCCCTCCCTTCCACCCTCTCCCTCCCTCCCGCCCACTCTCTCCTTCCTACCCACTCCCTCCCTCCCTCCCTCCCTCCTCCCACCCTCTTCCTCTCTCCCTCCCTCCCTCTCCCTCCCTCCCGTTTTCCTCTCTCTTGCGGGCTGAAGACTAAGCGAAGTGACAGAACTTATTTCGTATCGCTTTCCATCTCGAGCGTCCTCCGTCACCCAGCGTCGGGGAAGCAGTGCGAGGTGGAACATTGTCGTTTGTTTTGTTGTAGTGCGCATGTGCGGGTTTAAATGTGTAGTTCCGTGCGTGTTTGTGGTTATGTATATGTTTAGTATTATGTGTGTGTGTGTAAATATATACACATGTACACATATATGTATATGTGTGTGTGTATATATATATGTGTAATATATATATATATATATATATATATATATATATATATATATATATATATATATATATATATATACATATATCTGTGTGTGTGTGCGTGCGTGTACACAGTCTGCCCAGATTTCTTTTCAATAATCCACAGCTACACTGAAAACCACAAAAAAACATGGGACACTGATAAGCACAAACTTTCCAAACGAGTGAGCAGAAAACAGGATCAACTTATTTTCTTAAAAATCCTTTCGACTTCACTCTTTCCGTCACACTAAAATTTATGGATGTAAGGCATTACTTATTTACCAAGCTTTAAGTTCGATTATCATGATTATTATTATTGTTGTTGTTATTGTTATTATTATTTTATTATCATTATTATTATCATTATTATTGTTGTTGTTGTTGTTGTTGTTACTATTGTTGTTGTTATCATTGTTATCATTATTGTTATTATCACTATTATTCTTATTATCATTATTATTGTCATTATTAGTATGGTAATTATTGTCATTATTATAATGATAATTATTATTGTTATTATTATTATTATTGTTGTTGTTGTTGTTGTTGTTGTTGTTATTCTTAATATTGTTTATTTATTGTTGCTGTTATTATCATTATTATCTTAAATTAGTTTTACTATTATTACTTTTATTATTGTTATTATTTTTTATTATTATTGCTATTATCATTATTATTATCATTGTTATTATTATCATCACCATCATTATTATCCTCATCATTATTGTTAGTAGTAGTAGTAGTATAGTGATACTAATAGTAATAAAAACGATGATTATAATTATTATCATCATCATCATCATCACTGTTATTATAATAAATATTGTTGTTGTTATCATCAGTATTTCTATTATTATTAATATGATTGTTATTATCATCATTATTATTATTAGTAGTAGTATTAACAATATTATTATTATCATTATCATTAATGTTATTATTATCATTATTTTTCATTATTACCATTATCATTATCATTATCGCTATTATTATTATTATCGTTATTATCACTGATGTTGTTATTATCATCTTTATTATTATTATTATTATTATTATCATTATCATTATTATTATTACCACCACTACTACAATCACTGTTAACATTATCAACCCTCTCTAACTCGCCTCCCTCGGCAGGTCTGCTCGCGGTGCTGGGCGTCCTGACGGCGGCCGCGGCTCAGTCTCTCTTCGACGGCATCGACTTCACCCTCGGGGCCAGCGACGCCGAGACCTCGCCTCCCGAGGGCGCGTCGCTCTTCTCCCTGGACGCCCAGGATGAAGGGGGGCAGCGGGAGTCTCTCTTCGGAGGCGTGAAGATGTCCCACAGCCTCAAGGAGCTCGAGGAGGAAGGAGTACCGCTGGGGTCCCTCGAGAGCTTCAGCCCCTCGAGGAGGGCGTCTCTCTCCGAGCTTCAGGTGACGAGTCGGCCTCGTCGGCCTCCCTCCGGACGCAGGGTGGCCTCCGCTACTGTGTCGGTCGGGCTGTCGGGGGCGCAGAGGGCCTCCGGGAGCTCCCTGTTCGACGCGGTTCCCTTTGCCGGGGCGAATCCCCACCAGGAGCGAGGCTTTGGGTCCAGCAGCAGCAGCGCCCAGAGCAGGAGTATTGGCAGGGGCCCAGCGCCGTTCCATGACGCCCCTGATTATGCTGCATCTGCTTCTCAGGATGATTACGCCGAGGATTATTATGTGGACGACTATGAGGACTCGGAGACGCAGCCCTCGAAGTCCACGCACAGGTTCCTTCTGCCTTCCGACCAGAACGATGAGTATGGAGTAAGTATGAGAGTGAAATAACACCTTCTACTAACAGAGAGTTGGAATAAGATCTTTAAAAATACATAACACTTTGATTCCATGCTCTATCTCACTAGATGATATAAGTCCTCCCTGAAGATTGTTAGGCTTGTTATTCTGTCATTAGATATGCCATTAAGTCTTTAAGACAGACCTACATAGTATTCTCACGACTCGCCTAACACAAAGCGTCCTCTCGCGACAGAGCAATGAGAACGACAACGGCGGCTCCACCTCGCGCGCCCTCCAGGTCCTGGCTCGGTCGGCGCAGCAGCTGGCGGCCGCACTGGAGGAGAGGCAAAGCAGCGACCACCACTCCACTTTCCCCCACCAAGTGCAGGGAGACTTCCACTCAGTCCTGGAGACTCTGGCCTCCAAGAACTCCGGATCCAGAGGGACAGGAAGTGAAGGAGCCGACGGAGAAGATGAGCCGCCCTTTTTAACGGAGGAGGATTTGTCGAAACTCTCCAAACTCTTCGGCTCCTTGGAGGTCGATAGCAAGGAGGCTGCGGCTCCCTTGGGGAACCAAGACAGAATGGATGAAAAGCAGATTGCTGAGATCAGGCGGAAGCGACTAGAAGACCTGCGCCTGGCTCTCGAAATCATAAGGGATTTTGAAGAGCCTACCTCTGAGGGCGGCGAGGGAGACGAGGAATTCGAGTTAATGTTGGCCAAATCACTCTTCAGTAAGAAAATCAACTCCCTGACCGAGCTGAACAGGAAGCAACGAGACTCTTTGGATTCTCTGATGGAAAGCATGAGGAGCAGACGCTCTGATTCTTTCTCTCTCGACGCTCTCTCTCTGTTTCCTTTCAATACGCTTGCTTTTGCTGCTCTTGGTTCCAGTGCAGATGCATTATCTTCCCCAGTTTCTGATACAGGCAGGTATCTCCTTCCTAGCCAGAATGTGGCACCTGCCCGTGATCCAGGCCCGCCTTCCCCTCCTCCAACACTTGGAACTTTAAATTCTTATCTGCTCCCTAACCAGAACCCAGCACCGCTTCGTAACCCTGGCCCGCCATCCCCACCTCCAACAACGGGTCCTGTGAATAGTTATCTCCCTCCCAATGTGAACCCAGCACCTCCGCGGGATCCAGGGCCACCTTCCCCTCCCCCTTCTCCACCTGTCATTGTTCCTGCGACGGCATACACCCTCCCTGGTCAAACACAGTCTAATCCTTCGGCGTCTTACTTGCCTCCACAACCAAGTCCTCAAGCCAACCCACTTCCTCCGACTATCATTTATGCTCTTCCAGCTCCCCCGCCAGCACAGGCGGATCCTGGGCCTCCTGCGCCACCCCCCACAACTACAACACGACGTCCTGCCCAGACTTACCTGCCTCCTTTCCGAGATGAAGTTACCCCTCAGAGAGGTTATCGGCCACCTGCACCTTTGCCTCTGGAAACTTCTAATGACGACAACTTAAATGACTGGAGACCTTTATCGAATCCAAACAACCACAGAGGCTACAGCAGTGACCCTCTTGACGTCCCAGGTGGAGAACGTGACACTCGTAATGAAACTTCCACCGCCGTCCACAATTACCACTACCACTACCATATAACAGGAAGCAAGGACGAGCTCTTCCAGACCGAGGGCAAAGCCAGCGCAGACAAGCCAGCCCGCGACAGGGTCAAGGAATGTCAGTCCGGAATAGACTGCAGCTTATTTGAGCCTTCACACTTCCTCACAGCACCCAGTCAGGCTGATGATTTCAGCGAGTCGTCCTACACCTCACTAAATCAGGAGAGAAGGCCAAGTGCAGATAGGCCACGCCCCCAACCTCCTCTGAATCCACGCCTTCCTTCGCGGGGTTATGGCCCACCGGCTACTACGACGCCCG